TGCCTCCAGCAGGGTGGGGAGGGCCGCTGGCCCGGCCGCCGCTGGCTGCTCCCGCGCAGGCCTCGCCACGGTCTACCCACCCCTCGCTCCAGCGAGCCTCTGCCCCCCAGGCCTCCCGAGCCTGCAGTTCACCACAATTCCATCCATTTGAAACACCTCAACATCACTGAAAAATCAATGCAATCTGGTTTAAATGCCAGTTTCTTCAAGAACCTGATATTTCAGTTACAAATAATTGAAGCTCCTTTTAAAAAAGAAAATTCGACTCCCTCATAATCAACTACTTTATGTGAAGAAAAAAGGCATCGTTACAATGGCTCAAAACCGTTCTCGAACGCACGTGATGGAGTCAGTCCGGCTTCTAACTGGCAAACGTCTTGCCCACGTCCTCCTTCCCTTTGTATTTCCTCTTCCCGTGTGTGAACGGTATGTACCGGTATTTAATCATGTGCTGGGAAAACAAACACAGACCTCAGTTACTTCAAAAGTTTCTTGACCGATCACATTTCCCTCAGATGTGAACAGCCAACGGTACCCCCATCTTCTCTATATACCAGACAAATGAGAATGTTAAGTTGAAATCAGGACTCCAATGGCAAGCTTCTCTCCCACAGTAACAGCAAAGCCTTCACAGCCCAACTGAGCCAGCCCAAGTCCCACATCTGAAATCCCATCAATCCGGGGAATGTTTTGTGAGCCCTCCCATGTAGGAAGGGCTAGGAGGAATGAGGGGGCGGAGACCCTCTGCTGCTGGCACCCAGGGTGCAGAGGGAGGGGGCACAAGCCGATGGCAGGGCCCTGAGCTCTCCGACTAAGAGCTGTGGAGAGACACCGCAGACCTCACGGCTGACCTGGCCCAACTTGGGCTTTCCTCTCCAGCTCCCAGAAAACTGCTACTGAGGGCCTGCTCATGCTGACCATGGGGCTCACGCGTGCACAGTGGACCTTGGTGGGAGACGGAGCACTGTCCTCATCTCACACCGGGTGGGGCCGCCCCACAGCCTACTTGCAGTGAGCAGACCCGCCACCACTCCTGCCCGCCACAGCATGTCTGAGCACGCTCTCCCTGGCACCACGGCAGTCCCTCTCACCTTTATCTGCCTCTTCATCGTGATGCAGAAAAGCATGACGAAGTACATCACCAGGATAGGCCAAAACACTGGGACATTGAAAGCGTCGAAGAAGGTGCAGATCGTGGCCACGAGGATGCCCTTGGTGGCTGCATGCCTGCAAGCAAGGAGAGAGGGTCAGTATAGCCGGCTGCGGCCACCTGCCCAGTGCCTCCACCCGCAGCAGGGGCATTGCAGCGGAGGGCCCAGCTCCGCGATGGGGGCAGCGTTAGGGCGTAGCTTCTTGCATGGACTTTACATACGTGTCTAGAATTAACCATACGTGCATCCCTTGAAAGCTAAGAATTCTCTTCCTGAAATCACATGCTGAATAAAACGTCAGGCGGGAGCCACAGGTGCCTCGACTTTGCTAACAGACCCGCCATTGAGAATGAAGCCCCAGGCCCCAGCTCTGCACCTAGTGACTGGCAGGTTCTGAGGAGACAGGTGGGGCTGGCGGAGCTCCCTCACCCCAGGGCACAGCCCACCCCGTGACCTGCCATCACCCTCTAGCCCAGGCTGGAGGCTCAGTGCTCCCCACTCAAACCCTGTGCAGTGCTCTCTGTCCTACAGAATAAAGCCCCAGCTCCCGGGCCCATCCTGCCCACTCTCCGCTGTCTCTCCCCAGCTGCCCTGTGCTCCAGCATCTCACACCACCCCGAGACTGGACAGGCACTGTGTGTCCCACACAGTGCTAGGCTGCGAAGCCTAGGCACACAGCTCCAAGGAGCTCGGGCTTGTGGCATTTACTGATCCAACAAAGACACTGGCTCCTCCTGTGCCCTGGGGCGGGACTACGAGAGACAGGATGGACAAGGCACAGAGCTCCCGTCCCTCTGACAGAGGAGCACATGAGGAGCTGCGCCCACCCACCTCTGTCCACCTGCCACACTCACACTGCTCTCTCACCACCTACAGGAGGTCTCAAGATGGAGCCAACCATGCCTGGGCCCTGCTCCTTCACTCAGGGAGAAAGTGGGTCCACCTCAGCCAGCCACAAGAAGTCACAGGCAGGGGAGGAGGTGGACCATGCGGACCTGCCCTCCTGAGGCCCAAATCTGCAAAGTGGCTGCACCCTCCGTCCCAGAAGCAGCCTCTTCTCCTAGCCTCCAGAGCACTGGTGTTAACTTGAAACCAGGACAGCACCACGAGGTAGTGGTCTCCCCAGGCCCAGCCCATGCGGCAGTCACCTTTTAGGTGAATGTATGTCACACAGTACCATAAAACTCTTATTTCATTAAGAGGTCTAAATTGCTGGCTGGTCAGAGCAAAAATAAGTCTATTCTTATAGTCTTATCAGCCACCCTAGAGCACAAGCATCCTTCTCAAATATCTTTAAGAATTAACTCACCAAAATTTAAACTCTGGGAGCCTTCGAATGAAGGGACGAAACTCCTCGTTCTGTTTGGTTGGTAATGAAGGACCGTCATCTGAAAGGCAGAGCAGCGGTCAGAGACGAAGCGGCCATCACACCTGTGAGTGCCTCTTACAAGCTTTTAAACTAGCGGGCTCATGCGTGGAAATAGAGACCTACATCGTTTAGCCAAAGACAGAACAGGAGTCTATAGTCCATCTACAAGTCAATGCATTGCTTTAGAAGATTCATATCAGAATTTCTTTTTAAAAAGACTTCTCTATGTTTTAAGTGCATAAAAGGAATTCACCTACACACCAATTCTCAGAAATACACTGGCTGTACTACATAAAGGCATGTAAAGAAAACACAGCGAATTAACACTTGCTAAGAACAAGCAGTAAAGGCTGGCAGGGCCATGTGTCCTTGGAACACGGTGGTGTCATGGTACACAGCCCTGCTCTCTGCCAGTGGCTGCGAGCTAGGTCTGTCACCCAGCACTGGCCCACCTGAGTCAGGTGCCTCTCCTCATTTACAGACAGAGAACTGCAGCCTACAGAAAAGGGCCTCTCAGTTAGTTTCTAGTCTCCCCCAAATAGTGACGTTAAATAAAAGGGGTTGTTTCCTTTAATATGTTCATTAAATACTCTACAGAGAAAAATCACAGACTCCTAGTCACACAATTTGAAAACAGTCTCAAGAGAACACCCAGCACTCACAAAGAGTGTTTCTCCCATAACAAAAAGAATTCCGTGGGCAGGGAGCTGTATCCAGGCTTTTCCTGCAGCAGCAACAGATGTGTCTGGAAGGAACCACTCACCGCTTCTTCCCTCCCCCCGCAGCTGGCCAGTCAGGAGTGGACTTGGACTCCCCTACCTGGCCCAGGTATGGCCTAGGGGCAATGTGAGCCCCATGAGTGCAGCACAGAAACGCGCCAAGAACATTTCAACTCATCTCTCCTCAGAAATCAGGGTGTGGCCCCCTCCGCCTGGCCCACCAGCAGTCAGGGTCCTGGTGGTCTGAGTCACAGTGAGCTGCCTGTGACACCTCTGGTTGGGTGAGAAGGAACCTAATTGATCAGTCCTGAGGTGATTCCCAGACAGGCGGTCTGTCTAGGAAGGTGAGAATCCAAAGCAGGCTCTGGAGTCAGGCTGTCCAGGCTCAGGTCCCTGCTCCATCTGTCACACACTCTCCCATGTGACCTTAGACAAGTTAGGTAACACTGTGTGCCTCAGTTTCCTCATCTGCAAAATGGGGATAATGTCATGGACACTCAGTTCATGGCTAAGAGGGCTTAATGACATTCTACAAACAAACTTACCCTGATCCCCCAAAGTTACAAGTACATTTAAACACCAAGAGAACAGCCTCAAATGTTTCTGGAGAACGTGGAACAAGCATGTGAAGGAGGCAGAGTCACAACCATGCCCAGACAGCAACATGGACAGCCTCTACTCTACCTGAGTCTTCCATGAGGGAAGGATCCACTTTAGGAGAAAGAAAAGCTATGAAAAGATTCAGATGGTAGATTCCCAAGGCGTAGGTCACGATGTACCAGCCCTGGAAGAGAAGGAAACAGCGTCAGGGACACGATTCAACCATCAGCCAGCCTGGACCAGTCACTGTGGGATATTCTGACCACTCTCCACTCTTTTAACTGACCTCAAAAGCACACACAATTCACTTACAGCAGGGAGGTTATAATGTAAGTGACAAAGAAGCACAGTGAACTCCCTGGTGACAATTTTTCTCCAGTTACTCTGTGGGTCTTAACTGGAAAGTGGACAGCTGGGGCCCAAATAGCACACTTCTCCCAGGGCCCAGTCTGATGTGCACCATCCTGAAGCCACTGGCTCCTGGACATGTGCTCAGCAGTAAAGGAGGATTCTCTCAAAAAACACACATGCCAAAAAAAAAAAAAAAAGGGCCGGCCCGGTGGCGCACTGCTACAGTGCGCCGCTTGAGAGCGCGGCGGCGCTCCTACCGAGGGTTCGGATCCCCATACAGACCGGTTCCCGCTCACTGGCTGAGAGAGGTGCGGGCGCGACGCCAAGGGTTGCGATCCCGTTGCCGGTCCCAGTCCGGTACGGGTGCGACACTGAGGGTTGCGATCCGTTGCCGGACACGAAAAAAGACAAAAAGGAAAAAAAAACAAAAACAAAAAAACACACATGCCCAAGTGGTGCCACGGGCACCCGAGTGAGGCTAATGTGCGTGTGCACCAGAATCTCAGCTCTTCCTGCAGACATGCCAGCTGACGTTCCCCTTGTGGACAACACACGTCACCAAGAACACTTGGCCAGCAGTGTTCATAACCTTTGCCCAGAAGAAATACAGAACCAGGAAATCAAGGAGGTTTTAAAATGTTTTTAAGCCAAGCCTTCCTCAGGAGATGCAAAGAAGTGGGAAAAACACCGTCAGGATGCCCACATTAAATATGCTTGCAACTAATTCATTTTTAAAAGCATCAAGTTTATCTCATCAGAAACCAGAACTGCATTAGTAATTTTAAAAGCCTGAACTTTTTCATACAAACAAAATGAATCTTTCTACCTAAAAAATTTTCAGGTCAGACAACCAAAAACTAGACATGAAAAGTTAATACGATGCTTAAAGATCATGCCACAGGGCCAAACCTTGAGGGATACAGAACCAGGCACTCAGTTTAGAGTACAGCAAAATGGACTTGTGCATTGCACCCCCACCCCTGCCCGAACTCCCTGATTCAGGTTTTTAGGTCAGTCTTTCCATTAGAGAATGGATGGAGTTCCAATTTTTTAAAAAATCTAAAATCAGTGAAGGTAATCCCAACATTAACCCTAGACGGCCCATGCAGAGGGAGCCTGGCCACAATGAACTAGAGGACCCCTTCACACTACATCAGCTCCAGGTTCACACAAGGGAATAAACACAGACTAACAACAACAGAGAACAAGTTTCCACATTCGGCTTAAGTCAGCATCTCACACAGTCCCAGACATGTCGTTGAGCCCAGTACATAAATGTGTCACTCCATGGACCGACATCCCCCAATCTTGGAAAGTATCAGGAATGAAGGTGTGTGCTTTAAATGAGGAAAATCTTTTGCAGCTCCAGAGGAGCAAATGCTCTGGACAAGGCTTTTAACTTTCCCTCCTTTGTTTATACAAAACATAAAATAACCTCCTCTCAAGATCTTCCCATCTTAAGGGTTTACTCCTAGAAACCGTGTGTTCACTAGAAATAAATAAGCACCAAAGGCAAAGTCTGTGAAGATGTCACCTGACCTAAATAGAGGTGCTTATAAACCCCTGACCCCACTTCACTGACCAAGTTTCTTACTAGACTCAACGTCTCGACCTGAATTCCCTTTTGGCCTCATAAAAGGTATAACTCAGAAAGAGCTAACCCCTTCGGGATGACAAAATCACTCATACTATCCAAAGTATGTAATTCTTCACCCAAGGAATGAGGTAACTGCTGCAGAACACTGTCTGGTCCCTGAGCCTCTGGCCCCTAGGAGTCACACAGCAGGATCAGAAGGACACGAAGTATGTAATTCTTCACCCAAGGAATGAGGTAACTGCTGCACAACACTGTCTGGTCCCTGAGCCTCTGGCCCCTAGGAGTCACACAGCAGGATCAGAAGGACACCAAAGGATCCATCATCCTGACCAGGACACTCCAAGAGAAGGGGCCCTGTCAGTGACACCAGGACACGGGCTGAGGTCAGGATTATCCTAGGCACACTGAGAACTCTAGATAGAGAATGTGACAAACTTCAGATGAATTGTAAACAAGCCTATTTCAAAAGACAGTCACTAAGTTTTCTTACATTTGGTGCTTAACTGAAAAGTATTAAAGAACCTTTCTTTCCAGATAAACTGGACCAAAAACATCCAAACCAACACCGTGTTCAGACAACATGGAGAAAGCCGAGTCTCCATGTCATTTCAGCCCATACCTACCTGCAACAGGTACACTCTAATCATGTAGACAAAGCTCAGGCCCAGCGTCACAACCCATCGCACGGCTGTGTAAGGTGTGGACTTGTCTAGCCAGGACTGATAAATCTAGAAAGATAAGAGTTCAAAAGCATGAAATAGATTCTGTAACTCCTACTGCATTGAACTCTGCTACAAAGCATGCTTTCTGCTACAGTTGGCTTTTCATTTTAAAAAGAGCTAATTAAAACAACAAGAGAACATACATGAGTATATATCAGCACAAAGAAGGGACTGCATTAATCCAAAATTTAGTTGCAATTCTTAAAGCAGGTTCATTTCTTAAGCAAAAATATTAAAAACAACCTATCACAGTAGATGGTACTATAGCATTGGCCCAAAGGGATGATTACAGGGGAGACCTAACTTCACCCCAAAGAGGATTGCAATGCAGAAAAGCAGCAAGTATGCATCCTAAAGTCACCAAACTACACCGTGGCACTCATCGCCCCAGTCCCATCCCCAAGCCCACTGCCCCCATGGGGCTTTCCCAGACTGCCCCCTGCTGCACATCTCTCTGGACACTGCAGCCACCGGCCACCCCACCCCTGCATGGGCCCTGCTTCAGCTCCCAGGGCAGCAGGCCGCAGCCTGACTTTTGGCCACTGGAGCTTGCGTGTGCCGTGCATCAAGGCAGCTGCGGAGACTACTGAGGAAACCCTTAGTTTTATGTACACACTTACAAACACACATTTGTGTTTTAATTCTGAAATTTAATTTTTAAATTCTAATTACAAAAAATTTCAAACTTTCACATAAGAGAATATGAAACCACGCACACCCATCACCCAGCTTCCATAACTATCAATAGTTCTCCACATGCTATTTTTTCATTAAGTCGATAAACTTTTAATTGAGCCAGAACATCAGCACCTGCAATTGTTCACTGAATTGGACCTCATCTAAGACCAAAGTTCAAACACACAGTATGTGAGCAGTTTCAGTCCCGTTGCCCCACCAAGAGGCATGGTGACCTGCGTCTATGTGAGCCACTAACACCATTCACACTCAGGGAGCAGCGTCTGCCAATTGTGTGCAGGCAAGGGGGTGGTAAGGCCTCCCGGATGAGTGGACGTGGTGGCCAGGATTGGGACAGCAAGAGCAGGGGCCATGACCGTGTCTGTACCACCTGGGAGCTAAGAATGGTTTTTATATTTTTAGAGGGTATTAAAAAGAAAAAAAAAAAAACAGAAACACGCGCGTAGTGGAGACCAGCTGAGGCCCCCAAAGCCCTCGCTGGCTGGCCCCTTACAGAAGTGCACACTCCGATGGAAGAGCAGCCATGCTGAAGCACAGGCCCGAGGGCATGGGAGGACTCCACCGCTGGACGGCTCTGGCGGGCCGACCAACCAGCGCCCTCAGGAAGACATGCAGGAAATGACGATTTCTCTTCGAAATATTTACACTAATCATCTACCAAAAAACCCACCGACCTGCCCAAGTCTTGTGAAAAATCTGTACACCACCGAAGGTTTCCCATGCACGGAATCGCCAACACTGTCCCCTTCGGACATTCTGTAACTGAGAGAGAAACATAAAATACTTTAAAATTAAATAAAAAGCATTCAAGGATGTGCAAATGTGCCCCATTTTCACCAGTGCCGCCCAGCAGGAGTCTGGCCTCAGCACTCCGCCCGCACCGTGACGGCGTGTTTCCCAGGAGCTGCTTAGGGAACAGCAGCAGGTGCACACAGTGGCTGCATGCAAGGGACACGAGATGACTGTGCCAAGCGCACAGCGGGATGCACTTGCGCTTCTCCTGCCCGCACCTCCTTCATGGGCATGCTGGCAGCCCTGTCCACCACGCTGGCCACAGGAGCTGCCCTTGGTGACAAGTTCCCTGGCCGGTCACTCCCTAAGGTACCTCTCCCTCTGTGGATCCCTCAGGCCCCTGTA